TGAAGAAGGAATAAGGAGGAAGCAAATAGATGGCAAATTCCACAGAAGGCAACCACCCTTTGTGCCTCCGTCAGCAATTCTGACAGGCCTTGCCTGAAGCGGGGGGCTGAGAAAAAGACAGCGGGGGGGGCTGATGGATAGTGACAAATGAACCAAATCACTAAGGGATGAGGAGTTAGGAGAGGAGAGTCAAGGTTGAAGGTGAGAGGTAGGGCTGCACGATATTGAAAAAAAAAAACAACTGACAGTTATATTTCGTTTCTGAAATATATATTGCAAAATGAAAAAAATACAGGATTTTCTTTTCTCCAGATGACAAGGTCCTGTTTCTGGTCAACATCATCCTTTCTGCAGCCAGAATATTTCCATGCAACCGACTTTATTTTCGCAACCAAATCTCCCTCCTCTGTGGTTTTTCTCCTGCTTCTCGCTCATTGTCAGGTTGCTGCTTTGGTCGTTTGATAAATTGATCAAGAAGTATTGTGATTGGTGGTTCTCTGTGCATGCAGAGCCTGCACGTCACACACTAGCAACAAGCTCTGTGCATCCAAGAACCCTTAAACCAAAGTAAATTATGTTCCATCAGACAGACTTTTTAATGTAGATTTATGGAAAATGAGACCCGTGCAAGATTCTCCTTTTGTATCAAGCAATAAAAAAAAGTTCTAGCACGTCATCTTAGAGTTAATTAGCCTTACTTGACGTTGCACGCCCTGCACATGCGCACATCGCAATGTCGTTCTTGAAACCATATATAATGCAGCCCTGGTGAGAGCAGTCGGAGTACTGGAGTGCTGGGGAGAAGATAAGTGAGATTAATGCTGTCTTCTGACAGGAGACTATAGAGACAAATTACGACTGCCTGAGGAGGAGGAGCTCTGAATGGGACTGAATGCTCAGACGGATATTTAACAGCCAGCTGTGACACAGCGTTGTCTTCACACATTCTGAGCAGCCGAGCCGACTGCAGCAGCCGACAATCATACATACACAAGATCTGACGTTAACCGAGCTCTCAGGTTGAGCACTTGTTACGTGAACAGCCAATGAGAATCAAGAAAGACATATTTCCATCCATTCCTGTTGACCAGTGCCAATGCCAGATTGTTGTGACACTGCCATAGAAATGAACACAACTCCTGGGTTTAACACATTTTAGCTAAATAGCCTTTTATGGCTTTTTGCGACCCGTCGCTGACAGATGTTGCAGTGTGCTCTGCATTAGAGAAGGAGACACACAGCTAAGTTAACTGCACTGTTACTGTGCTAATTACGTCAAATGAATAACAACAAAACATCACTCGTGTGGAGCTGATGTGTAGTTGTCGATATGGATTAGCATTACAATATGCTGTGGTGAGTTTCCCTTCCATAAGCCTGCAACGCACCCAGACTTCAGCCCTGCAGTGATACATTTTAAACTGCATGCGTCATGTCATAATCCCTGAATTTTTTCTTTGTCTGTATTTGTGCTCTGACATATTTCAGTGCAACGTATCCTCATACAGCGGTCCGCATGATATCTTACAAAAAGCCATTCCTCATTTTTTGTGCATTTTCCTACAAATGTCCAGCAACACTTGTCAATTTCTGCTCGTTACATGCATACGGTCTTTTAAATAAAACAATAAGAAGTCTGGTTGTACAGAAGTCTATGAGAAAATGACTCTACTTCTCTCTTGATTTATTACCTCAGTAAACATTGTAAACATGAGTTTATGGCCTCAATCTCTAGTTTCAAGTCTTCTTCAATACAGCATGATGTTCATTTAGTACATTATGGTCCATTTAGAGTCAAACAGACCATAAAACAGGGGATGCTTTAGGGCGGGGCTACCTTGTGATTCACAGGTTGCTTCCTCTACCAGAGCCGTATACGACATTTCTATGTCACTCCTCCACATTCCAAATATGGTAACTTCTGTTCACTGGTTGCAAAAAGTCAAAATGGCAACAGCCATAATCCAAGATGGCGACGGCCAAATCGCCGAACTCTAGGCTTCATAACGACAGCCCACAATCCAATGGGTGACGTCACAATGACTACGTCCACCCCATATACAGTCTTTGATTACATACGATTTGATTTCCTTGGATATCTACAAATTACAGTATATTCATTTTCGATTGCTACGAACGCTGTATGAAAACAGCCAGTTCAGATACAACCTTGGCTGCTTTGCTCAGCACTTTACTCAGCAGATGTTTGGAGCTACAGCTATATAGTTAATGGATTAAAGTGTGTGTATCCAACTGCTCCATGGAAAAGTTGTATTAGAAAGTGTATGATTTTCTGTATATTTTACTTAGTGTAACAGCGAGGAGCTTTGGAAGCCAAATAACTTCTTGTTTGCTTCATTGGAAGACTTGCAAGGTATCGAGTATACTGTCTTTCTCTTTATTGGGGCTTCTTAAGCACTAATGCTGCCCTAATAGAATAACACAGCAGTGCCGTATCGATGACAGGCGTAATTGAAACAAGCATGGCCTTAGTAATATCAACCTGCAGCATTAGCCGTCACAAGGTAACAGATGTTAGTGTGTTGAAAGCAAGAGAAACTTAAACACTCAGCTCTGTCTTTCAGTCCTCTACTCTATCCAGTGTAATCAAATACAAATCGCATTATGCAATGTCCTCTGTCCTTTGTCCTCTGTTGCCTTTATAAATCGTATCTTTTGCTGCTCTCTCAGCTGTTAAAATGCAACACAGAGAGGTGGATGCCAACTGTCCGCAAACCGTCATTTGGCAGGGTAGAGGCGTACTCAACAATGCATCCGTTTAACGCAGTTCGTCTGCATGTGCGAGCTCACACTCTCTCTCTCTCCAGTCAGGTCTGTGTTTTCCGTTGCACTGACTGAGAAGGTACACACTTGTGAAATCACCCCGTGGGTTCATGAGACACGTGGCAGCAAACATGACGCTAGGAATAAAAAAGCATCTTGCAGCCAAAGGCGTCCAAAGAAGAAACGGCCATTTTCATCATCTGATACAGCCGAGCTCGACGAGTAACCCTCGCCAGACAGCCCTTTGATTCATGAGCCCGTTCTGAGCTCTTGTCGAAGTCAGCACTTTCCTCACCGTGGAACAATGAAAATCCCCCAACTGTGATGTACAGTGAACATGATGACCAGTAAATGCAGCATGACGGACTGCTGGTAGACTCAAGAGCCTGAACATTTAGCTTCAGGCCGCCATGAGTGCATCTACAGACATGTTCACATCCATTAGTATACCTTAAAAGTCAACAATATTAAATAACATTGCATCATTTAGAAAGCATGTGTCTCAATCTATTAGCTTTGTCACAAGATAGTGTTTTAAAAGCATGCAAAATTAAATATATGTTGATTTCCAAAATGAGAACCAAGTACCTCAATTTGAGAATCATCATCATCATCATCATGAAGCCAGTCTAAATAGACCACATCATTTCGTCTAACTTCACTTCTCACAAGCAAATCTTATAGTCAAACTTGCCCTACAAATTAATGTCAGTAACCCAAAATAAATACAGAACTCGTGACATTATTAATCTTATAATTAAAGTCCACAACCTAAGCACCAGCTGAGAGGAGGGTGCTTATACCTCAGCATCACTGATACACAACAAATGCAGCCTCTTACCTTCTGACATAAGCAGCAGTGAGCGACAAAGCAAACTCTCCAATTGTCTCTTGAATTACACTCAAATTACCCCAAATAATACTGGACTTTAGAGGCCGATACGGATATTTGAGGGTTTAAAAATAGGGTAACCTGTTGGCTGATATACTGTATATATATTTGCATAAACATCTACTCGTCTGCCAATAGGCCTTTTTCACAAGAGACATTTTGCCGTGTCACATTGGGAAACGCACAGGTGCAAATAATCTAATTTATGAAAGCTGAATTCCATTTAGCTGCTCCAGTTTCTGGGTCCTAGTGTTGTGAGTGCTGGCTCACTGTCTTACTGGGACACCTTCTCAATGTTAAAAGCATAAACATCTGCTGAGAAAAACATGTCTATGTGTGTCTTAGTGTCACCTATACAGAACCACTCGTAAAAATATATTAAAATATTATGTCTGGTCCAACTGCCATGGTGTCTGCGGTCTGTCCCTCAGCACTCTTAGTCGAGGAAATTGAGTATTTTCTGGCTCCAGTAAAAGCCAAAATGGTGGCAAATTAAACCCAAATTGAGGCTTTAATGGTTTCTTCACAGACATAATGGGTGATAATCATGTTTCTCTACAGCCTGTTGGGTGACAGGCCATGATAATTCAAGGTGCCCACAGCTGGGAAAAAGAGGGAAGGTGGCAAAGAGACATTTTTTGTTCCTTGAGAAAAGGTGGTCACTAAATCCTAAATCCTAGCTACACCCCTGGCTCTTTCTATAGGTAAAGTAATTAGAAATATGTACAGTTACAGGCTACTAACACATGTTTACAGACTGGCTTTTATGTGGTTGTCGCTTTTCTGTTTTATTTTTATTTGTTGATTTTACTAAATATATATAAATATAATTTTATTTATTTATTAGTTTATTCGACTGTCTCACTGAGCTTTCTGTTATTGTTATTATTGCCTTGCTTTTTGCTGCTTTGTCTGTCAAAGCACTTTGTACATTCTGTTTTTAAAGGTGCTATATAAATAAAGATATTTTTATTATTATTATTATTCATTTATATCATATTGCCTTTTCTAAATATCGATTCAGTTCCAAGCCATGGTTTGCTGTGTCGCTCACTAGACACGACTGCACTGCTACTACACACATAATACCGTAACACATACAATATATATTAATAATAATATATGTATATATAACGTTAAAATGCAACTTTACCTGCTTGACACATCAATTTAGCTAACTTAGCTAGCTACTAGCAGAACGTTAGCCGACCGATTCTTTGCTAGCAGAGATGAGTCGGGACTTTCTGTTCAAATGGATGTCAGGGTAATGAAATTCACACATTAAAAGAGGGATACCGTTTATTTTAAAAGGTGATAAAAGTACCCATGTCTCCGGCGTCCATTCCGTAGCTGACTCCAACCACCGTGTCCCCATCATCGGATGCTGTGGCCCCGGATAGCGGGCTCCCGTCCCGGGCCTCCGACAGCCCGACCGCTCCCTCGGCTGCTGCTTCCATTCAGCCTCCCGGAGGACAACGCACACACAAAAACGCAAGAAACAAGACCCAAAAAGACCCAACAGCGGCGGTGTGTGATCCCGGTGAGAGAGGCAGGAGGAGGCGGACGTGTTTGTTTGATGTGTAGCAATAATCAAACGGAGGAATGTGTGATAGTTATCCGCGATGGTCCCGTCATCTGTGCGGTGTTTCCTGCACGAAGAAGGCGGAGCAGCGTCCGCTCCTCTCAGGTCGACTGCACCGCACTTGCTGCTACTGTGCTACTGTGTTGCTGCTGCTGCTGCTGCTGCTGCTGCTGCTGCCTGGGTGTTAGTGCCGGCCGGACACCCCTGTGGATCCCTTCTGCAGCGGGCTGTATCTCCCTCTGCAGGAGGCCGAGGGACCCGCAGCCCGGAGCCGAACGCGTCCTTTTGGATGCTCGGAGTCACATGCAGAGGTCACTTTGAACTGATGGGAGTCTGAGTGGTTGCATGATTACACATTTACATGTTTAAACATGTAATTACATTTTTGTTTTAAGGATTCAAGGATCATTTGTTGTCATTATGCAACACAGTGATGCACAACGAAATTTTGCTTTTTTGCCCATTTGTACCACAAAGAAACACATGACCAACAAAACAAAAACAGTAGGCTGCTATACATTCCTGTGATGCATATTTTGAATTTGCATCATAAGAGATGTAAACAGCAGCAACAAAAACAATTCTCTGGGCAGATAATATGGCCAACATCTTCACATTAAAAACTCAACACGAGGAAAACATTGCCCATCAACTTTGACTGTGTTTAAGCACCAAGCATCAGGACCCATCAGAGTCCTGCTGTCTGTCCTGCATGTCCGCCCGTCAAGTGCTACAGTTCTCATCGTGGCTCTGAGCCGTTGACCTCTGCATATAAATCATGAAGTATTGCATGTCAATTTCAAACTTATCTCACATTGGATGCATATACTTGACAAAATGTATTAAGGTGTAATTCCCAATACCAGATTATTAAGTATTTATGTACATAACACCTGGTGTAATCTCTTCACAATACCAACATGAAGTCTGATTTTTATACCTTTATTTTGGTTAACAATGCCATAATTTAGTCATTATCCAATATATAATCATTAATAGGGATCTGTAGTTTACCCAGGGTAAAAAAACAATCACAGACAGATTATTTCTTTGCTGGAATCTTTTAATATATACTTTTTTAGGGCTTTATAATGCTACTTCAAAGGATGAGGTTAGTCTGAATTAGGCACATTTTTTTAGCTTGTAATCCTTTAATACAAAGCCATGTCTCCCCGATTGTGAGCAGTTCAATCAAAAAGGGATTTTTCCCATCTCACATTGTTTAATTTGAGTTATTCTTGGTGGCATGAAAAGGTTAAACTATACAGTTTTTCACCAAGCAAATGCAAAGAAGAGGAAAATGTAATCTTGTGACTCCTTGTACATTTCTGAACCAATGATCCCGGACAAAATCTGTGTTGTGTGTGTATTTTTTTAACTTCATATGCAAGTATAGTTTTATTGAATAGTTTAAATGTTTAATCTGTGTCTCTACAACCATCTCTACTGTGTTGGAAACAAACACAGTAGAGTGCTTGTCATCCAAGTATTGAGTTGCTGTGCTGTGAGTTCAATATCCAAAAGATAAAACTGTGACATTGTTAATTTTTCTTCCTTGAAAAAATAAAAACCTCAGTTTCACTTTAAGCCCCGGCGCTCCCTCGTGAACGGTTCTCTGACACGCTTGAATTTTTCAGTGTGACATAAATGGATTTCCTGTCTTTTTTTTCCACCATTTCCATTAAACAGAAAGAAAGATCTTTGTGCCCAACAATCACTGAGGACAAAACACATCTATTCTACAAGCAACACCAACATGATACAATGTAATATAACTTTAAAAATGTCAGTGTTTTCCTGACAGACAAACTTTACAGACAACAATAACATTAGAGCAAAATCTTAGTGCATTTTATTATGAAAACACTGCCACACATGAATACTGAAAGAGGTGATGATCCATTTAGGGATCCTTCCTCTTTCTCTCCAGAGAACCAAATGAATGCA